GGAAACACGAGAAGGAAAAGGGGGAATAAAAGAAAGAAATACATCAAATAAAACAGATTAAAAAATTAGAACAGTGAGATAAAAAAAAACAACAAATGAATAAATAATTAATAAAGTTAATGAATCAAAGTGATCAAGGGCAGTAAAAGAGGGGATCAGAGGAGGACTTAAGAGTTTATGGTTTTAACAAGAGCATTAATATATGAAAGCAATGAAGTAAAAACTGAAATGTTGACAATTGTGCTAAAAAAATGAGCCTACAGTAACATTGTGAGTTCCTCTATGTGTCTCTTTACGTTGGTTGGAAGAAGAGGCAGACTGGTAGCAAACTAACTGTAGCAGCCCCCTGAGAGATAATTAAATACTTTTAAAATTGACTTCTCAAAATTTATTTAGAATCCTTAAACAACACTGGAGCTCCTGTCTCTTTGGGTTAATAATGAACTGTTTATTCATTCAGTTCTGTGACTGCCAGAAGTTAGAGTGACCATACCTCCTCTTTTGCCAAGACATGTCCTCTTTTTGGGGGGCTGTCCAGCCTTGTCTGGCTTTGTCCGGGGAGTTTATAAAATCCTTCAAAAGTTTTGAGTTTGTGTCACATGGACTTACTGAGTTATAAGCACGTAAAAAACATCCGATCTAACCCGAAAAACTCTCGAAATTAACTACGTGCGACTCAGTGACTCCGCCCCCGTGTAGTTGTATCCATCTTTTTAGGGGATTCAGGGAAGATGGGGAATATGGTCACCCTACAGACGTAGTATATTTCAAAATAAAAGTATAGCTTGACCACACAAAAACAAACAAACCTTTTTCTTCAAAGATGTTTTAGTCACAGGGCTGGTGGTGTGGAAAAATCATAAATCTAAAACTGAAAGCTCCCAGCTCGAACATTTTTAAAGTCATTGTGGAAAAAATAATGATTATTTTTGCACGGTCATACAAACCAGTTCTCAGCCTTGAGTTTTTTTTAAAGTGGGTCTGAGGCTGAGAAAAACAGCAGAGAGAACTCCTCTTATCTGTAACTGGCATTCGTGGTACGCAGCTAAACTTGGGGCTGTCAGGTCCGAGTGACTGGGTTCCTTCCTGCCTCTGAAAAGAATGAACTGATTGTTAACCCACACACACAAATCACAGACACTATAAATCACTTTCTTTGAACAAACACATTTTTCATTTTATGTGAAGACATAAAAAAACAGAAATGTGAGGTTTACATCTCAAGAAGTAAAGGAAGGAACAACATCAGCAGGTTGACTAAAAATATGTATTTTTTAGTGACAGATTAAGATTTAAATCGAAGTTTAAAATGATGGAGAGGGGTGCACACATCTTTATCTCAATAGTTTAGTTTCAAGAGCAAGAAATCCTACGTCAAACTGAGGCTGAAAGCTGATTTGGTACCTTGTTGGTCACTGAAAAGCTCAAAGAATGCACATTACTTACTGTATATAGACATGGATTCGACAAAGAGGAGGGGATATTGCACTGGGATAATAACAGTGTTATTTCATGCAATAGGAATACTGCACCTAGTGATAAATAAGTACATGATAAAAAACTTGACTGCACAAATTACGGGTTGGGTGAGATGGATCTTTCATGATGCAGGATGTCCTCCACAGACAGCAGAAAACATAGATGTCCTCCAAGCCAGGCAGACATAATTGTAATCCTCTAGGTTGTGTTGGTGACCCTCTTCAGGGCCTTCCTGTCAGTCTGCTGGACTGATAGTAGGTAGTAGGTACAGTATCTTCCCTTGTTTCTGTGTTCTTCATGTCACACACATTAACCTTTTTTACCTATTGGGCAGCAGATTAAGATGCATTTTGCACAATATTAAAGGTCCAGTACAAATGAAGCATTAAGAGGAATGGTGCTCTGCAGCTGCAGCATCACACATCATGAACTACACTTAAGTACTCAGCACAGATGAGCCGCTCTTGGATTGCAAAATAAACTCACAAGCGTTGACATTATCAAGCGCCTGTCTTCAAACTTTATTTTAAAACGTCGACCAGGTGCCTCTCGTAAAAATTTCTCAAACAAGCTCTTGTTTGTACGTCTTAATCCAAGGATCCTGGATCAGAGCAGCACATTATAAGCTCTTTAAAGTGTTTCCTAGACCAGGTCCCGCACAGCCTCTCCCCTCTCTCCTTGTCAGTTCAGGTTTTGAGAGAGGGGGCAATACCACTGGCATGCCTCAGCTTTGATTAAAGGAAATGCTTACGTCACTCCGTCTCTGAGAGAAACAAGCCATTCGCTCGGCGCAGATGGCTTCATCCAATGGTTGAGGAGCTTTACAAGGGGCCGGCAGACAGGTGCGCCTGCTGCAGACTGTATCTAGCACAGGCAGAAAAGTGTTGCTGCTATTTTTTTTGTGTATCATAGCAACAACAAAGCAGTAAATCTCTGTGCAGTTTTACAGATTGTCAGGGGTTTTCCGTAAGCCTGCTCTCTTTTAACAGAGAGGAAATAGGCGCAGGCAGGAGCGCTTAACCTGCAGGTCGGGGTCCACAGTACAGGCCCTGGAGTTCTGTCTTAAGGTCTTTACTTTAGCAGAATGTGGTCACCATGGTGTGTGTTCACTATTATGTATTAAAAAACAACTGAAAGACAGACTTCCCAGGGGGGATAATAAAGAGTACCATCTCATATGTATCAGGTCATATTGTTTTGGGCCATAGTCGTTTCATATTGTACCATATCGTATGTATGTTTCTGTGTTGGTGTGACTGTAGGTGCGTCTATTGATTGGGTTCTGGTGCAGGTGTGGCTTCTGATTGATCAATTCTTGCATCTTATTGGATAAAGATGGTCGTCACTGCCTTTAAATTGCAGCTGCTGCACTCTGCTCTCCCTGCTCCTCCCATTTCCAATACACCAACATCAGACTGTGTGTTCTTATGCTTTGGTGTGTGTAAACTGTGAAGGCCTGCTGTAATAGTAGAGTGTGTGTTAAATTTTCTTTTCTATTATGAATGTAGCTTCTAAGTAGATTGTTAACTAAGAACATTGTATAATCTAAGCACAAAGTAGGAGTTGTTTTAGTGGTAAGAAGAGCAGGTGATGAAGTAGTTTAGGATTTTTCTTTTCTTCCAGCAGCCTCTTGTTTGTGGGGAGAGCTCAGAAGAGTCGATCACAGAGTGCAGCAGACTGATAAAAGAACACTTACGATCATTACTTTATCATTTACTTGCAGAAATAATCACCATATTGATCATTTTGCCCTGCAGACGCGGTAGTTCTTCTGCTTTACTGTCTTGGTCTGATTGCATTTCCATGAAGTATTAATTATAAATGTTCTTACTTGAGCTGTGAAACTCCGCTGCACTCAGTGATCGACTCGTCAAGGCTCCCCCACAAACAAGCGGCTGCTGGAGGAGAGTGGGTGAGTTTTGTTTAGTCTCTTTGCTGAAGAAATCGGGCAAAGCTAAAAAGATATTGTGGCTGGGACCCTGTATGAACTGTTGATGAAGTTAGGTGCTGTTCTGAGCATTATTTGTGGCTATAGAGTGGCTTTTTGGTTGAGGTTTGTGCAAAGAGACATGGAGACTGCTGTGTATTGCTATCATACGGTCGTTACTAAAGTTGGTATAATTAGTGAAGCAAGCAGTCGGCAACATTTATCTCTTGAGGGAGTGTCTAACTCGCTGTTACGGTGTGTTTGACCTAAACTTAATTTTAAGCAATTTTTTTTAAGTTGGAGTCTCCCAGCCGTGTCTGCAGAAGCTATGGCCGAGCCTGCATACCTGTTCTTCCTGGAGATTCTCACTAAAAGGACAGTAAACGCCATGATCACATGTGGCTACTCCACATTTGCAAATGAATGTAGCTCATACAATCCCACATCAAAAATAGTGAATTATTCTATCAAGTTTGTGCAGGGTGTTTGTCAACATATCACTTCTGTCAGAAAGAGTTTTAAAAAGTGGAAACTATCACGGACTGTACATAGTGTCGTGTTTTTCTATGTAGCGCATATCACTTTATTCTTTGTATCACATTAGGAGAGAGTCTGACAGATTTTCCTTTCTTTGATGGAGACATTAAAATCTCTTTTCTCTCTGATCTTGTAATGAATTTTCAGTCGTTTTTCCACACTTATCTTTAGTCGGTTGTTTGTGACACCAACCACAAACACTCTGCAAATCAAATCAAACAGAAATTCTTTGGTGAAATTATGATTTGGTATTTGGGAATATCACAAATTCCTCTGATAGTTTTGTCTACAGAGCTGTGAGGGGGCAGAAGCTCAGACTGATGGAAGTTTGGAGCTCAGTCAACCAGACATTTTTTTATTGAATATCAGTTTATGCAACTTTCCCACATTTGGAGCATATCAGATTAGCACTTCATCACTGGCCTTTTATTTATACATCAGAAATTCTTTACATGCTTCATAAAAAAAGTCTCACATACAGCCAACAAATTACTCTTCATTTTACATCTTAGCAGACGAAGGCACAATGGCAGATAAGTGCTGAAAAAAGGGCATTTTAGAGTATAGCTCACTACTGCTTCAATAGATTTTTAGATACACACAGACTTTTTACAACAAACACGGCATACTGAGAGATACAAATCTGAAGGTAGACAACAACAGGAATAAAAATCAGTCCATCAGATCCGTTTTAGTCTGAAAGAATCTCTGATATGTGGATGTTTTTGGCTTTCCCCTACTCAGCAGCACATTTCACACAAGTTTAAGTGAGTGGGTGTTAAAGAGCATCACCTTAAGGAGTTTATGTTTCTCTGTTTAGTCTGAGCAAAGTCTAACAGTCATTGGTATGCAGTCTGATAGTCCACTTGAGTGTGAGGAGCGGTGTCTGCTGCATAGCTCTGAGTTCACTCAGTCTGCAGAAGAAAAAGCTCTTTTTCTAAGATTTTATCCGTCCTGTTTAGTCTCATCTTTGAAGTCTGAAAACAGATTTATCTATCCTGAAAGAGAAGGAAAAACTGCATCTTCCCTTTTCTGTCTCACTCTTTGTCCTGCTTTGCTACCTGCAGCCACACGACTCCACCACCATGTCCTCGTACTGCTTATAGACGACATTATTGGCCGAGTCAATGTAGAGGATGCTGATCGGGCTGAGTCGAGTCGGTACGCAGCAGGTGGGTGGGGTCGACTCGGGGTCCATGGAGTTCATCAGGGTCTGAATGATGGCGTGGTTGGTTGGCTCCAGGTGCGAGCGAATTGGGAAGTCGCAGGCACCATCGCAGTGAAAGGCCTCATACTCAAGCGGCGCAATGATCCAGTCGTCCCAGCCCATCTCTTTAAAGTTCACATGGAGTCGTCTGCGGTTGCATCGCGGCCTCGTTTGGGTCTTCACCACCTGGTGTTGAGGGAGGGAGTGCGGCGGCTGCTGCAGGTTTTTTTTTGCCCCACGTGCAGCGGGAGCTCGACGCATCCGTCGCTGAGTGAACAGGTATTCATAGACGGTTTTGTTGTCATGGCCTGACCTCGCTTTAATCTCATTGTAGAAAAGGTCAGGCTTCTTGCTTTTGCCAAATGCCAGGAAGAAGGCCTTTTCCTTGTTGGTCCTTCCAGGTCTAGCAAACCCCAGAGTACGCAGGTCCACGAGGCGCCCACCTCTGAGCTCAACAGCCTCCAGTTCAAAGCACAGCTGCTGAGAGTGCTGGTTCTGATGGTTTCTAAAGCCCTTAAAGACTTTCCATATGTCAAACACTTCCCATTTGCTGCCAAATCCGCCTCCACCAAGCAGATCCTCCATGGTTTTACTCTGGAGCAGAGTAGCCTGTTGTTTACCTGATGCACAGGTGTACAGCTTCAGGCACGGGGACGAACCTCCTCCACCCCCTCTCCCATCAGCGGCTGCAGATCCAAGGAAGGCTCTCCGTGGGTCAGACAGGCGCTTCCTCAGGATGCGTAACTCAGCCCCCAGGAGCCCGTCTCGTTCCAGAGAGCTGACATTGAAGTGATACCTCTGCCGTCTCAGCTGGGGCCCACGCTCGTCTGTGCGGAAGGACAGAGATACAAGAGCAGAGGAAGGGAAATATGAGTTAAAGCTGAACAAACGGCAAATTTCTCTGCGCAGAAGTAAATGGTAAAATCTGGTCGAAAGCAGGAATTAACTGACAAATAAACATAGAAACATGTTTATAGCTGCACAGACTGACATGTGACTGAATATTTGGAACCATATACCTACACAACAGCTACAAACCATAAAAAAAACTCAGGAATTTTCAAGTTTACATAAGTTGAGCAGTTTATTTTCTGGATGTTAGAGTGTTGAAGTTGTAAATAAGACTTTTTAAAGGTCCAATCCACAAAAAAGTATGTAAAATGTTAATATAACTAATTTATAGCTTTTGCAAATCAAAAAAATCCCATATTTGATTGAAAATAACACAAAGACTACTCATCAAATCTTGAATTAAAAATGATTTTATGAAAAGTAAATGCACTTTTTAAAATTGATGCAAAAAAGAAAACATTTAGAAAACAGACATGACTCTGTAGTGTAAATCACTGTATCTGCATCACAGCGTCTGCTAAATGACATTTTTACCTTGTGATTGTAATAAAAAAAGGATAGCATAACAATGCAAGCAACAGGCAAAACAGATAAAAATATGTATTCTCCAAAGAAGCTTTTATGTGAGGGCTGTAGATGTGGATAATTCATGAATTTGAACATCATCAGAAATGGTTGATGACTTGATACATTAATTATTTCAAAGAGTTTATGAGTTGCTATTTTGACTCCTGATTTCCCTAGACTGAGCCCATAAACCTCCCAACTTTAGCGCACACTTTAAAAGTCAGAACCCCTGATGCTACAGAAATGCATGAATGTCCATGTCATAGGTTGCATATCTGAAGAACCCCTACAGCAAACATAGAAAACAAATGGGATATAAACATCAATATCGCAAAAAATCTATGCATATTATTACAGCATGCAAATGGTTCTCTTGCAAGCAGACACCAACATGTTACACACTCTCACACGCACACACAGTTGTCTAACATGTACACAGTTGTACACACAAGCACCAGAACATAAGGGGGACTGAGCTGAACGGTGTGGTGTGTAATGTTTTCTTTTGTAGTCGGTGAGGGAAACCAGTAAACCTCCATGTCTAAATGAAATCCAGCAACAAAATCCACAAAAGCACACAAACTCACACTTATATACACACCAGCAGCAGCGGCAGCAGATCTCTCCCCCATGTTCACTCCTTCTCACGTTATCCCCTACTTCTATCCAGGGCTTGAGCATGCATTGAAAAGTACATTAGAACCAGACAAAGAGACCACATTGGACTGTAAACAGGCCTGTTATTTTGGACCTGCAGCTATCTGCTGTAGAGGAAACAAATCATGCACTACGCACCAACACACAAACACACTCACACAAATGCTGGCACTGACATCGTATACTCGGTACAAAAGGGAGGTTGAAACTAAAGTCCAGTTTGTTCTGTCACCTTGAATAGGACAGGCTGTCTGTTAACTATAAGACTATCTGATCAGTCCTTGTGGTCCTTGGGCAAGATAAAAGGCCCAAACTGACCCTGAAAGTTCTGCTAATGAAAGTTTCAGAAGGTTAAAAAAGATGGGAGGTAATGTTTATTGACAAAAGAAAGAGATCAAGCATAGATCCCTGTGGTACACCACAGGAAACACAAAGGTACTCTAACTCTTCTATTTGCCACTTTTAGCTAATGTGTATGGTTTCTTTTTAGCTATGATTGTAGATAGGGGAAAGATGTTACACAGAATTTAGAGGTTGAAAATGTAAGATGTGCTGAGTGATCAGGGGTGTTATTGTATGAACAGAAAAAAAAACAACCCACATGGATGCTCCATATGATGGATATGGACTCTTGAGCTCCTATCCATTGAGTGTCATTTTTATTATTTGGCCACCTTTATGGGAAACCCTTAGATTCCTTACTTGATTTAAAGTAAACGACTAAACCAACACAGGTGGAGTCAACTGAGAAGAAAAGGGGATCAATCACAGATCCTTGTAGTACCCCTTAAGGGAGAAGATGCTTTTCTGACATAAAAAGATGTGATGGTTCCCAAGATCACAGGGTGCTGACTGGTCCGTCAGTAGGAACTGACAACTGGACTACCTTTCTTGGTGAGTTCAGAGTTTCCATCATTGATACAGCAGAACTTTTTTATTGAGACAGTTTGGATAACAGTTTGCTAAGGAAATCAGGCTAAGCTAAAAAGATTTTTGATGGCTAGTGCTGTGGCTGGGACCCTATATGTACTGTTGATGAAGTTAGGTGCTGTTCTGAGCATTATTTGTGGCTATAGAGTGGCTTTTTGGTTGTGGTTTGCACGTAAAGACGTAGACTGCTGTGTATTGCCATCCTGCGGTCGTTGCTGAAGTTGGTATTACTAGAGAAGCAAGCAGTCAGCAACATTCATCTCTCGAGGGGGTGTCTAACTCGGTGTTACGGTGTGTTTCACCATAACTTAAATTTATGCCGGGATGTCCCTTTAACTGTGCTGATGACAGACAACCTCACCCACCAAGTAGGATGATCGGTCTTGAGTAGAAATGATCCATTTGTCACAGAGGTGAGTTTGCAGTTTATGTAATAGTAAGGAGATTACTGGGTATGAAAGCTCTACCACTAACAGATAGTAGTAACTGAGTTTAAAGGATTCATTAATCACAACACTGATGTTACATACGACTGTCATTAGCAGACATCAACGTGTGGTGAATGACAAAAAGAAAGAAAGAAAGAAAGAAAGAAAGAAAGAAAGAAAGAAAAAGAAGTGCACTGATGTGAACAAGTGTGTGGGAAGAGATGTGTCAGGCCATCAGTTACGCCTCCCCTCAGCCCCTCAACATGTGGAGGGGGTCAGCGGTGATTTGCTGAGGACACACTAAACAAATAAAGCCCAAATTAAAAGTACATTAAGTGGCTGAAATGTAAACCTTTAGCAGGACTAGAAATATTCAACTCTGCTCATTTAAACACTGTTTTAAACAGTTTTACACCCTAAAGATAACATTACACAGGGGGGCCACCCTACTTGTGGCTGTGAGGAGTGTTTATTTACCCTCCTGAGGCCGTATATCACTGAGAGGAGCAGAGCTGCCAATGACTGACCAGATGGTTTCACACTCACACACCGACTGAGAGAAACCAAAATTATAAACAGTGCACACAGAAAAACACAAAAGTTTACTCTAATGCATGTTCAAAGTCCTGTCTCAAACCTTACACATCTGCAGACTTGTTTGCTAATCAAAAATGTTTATTATTTCTTTTAAATATGGTTTTAAAAAGAGGCAACTGAAGAGTTTTGAAAATCCAGAGTATTTTCTGAGGAGGAACTAGACTTTTCAAAAACTAGAAACCTTCTTCATCAGACCTTGGTAGGTGTGGTTTGATTAAATTTGACAGTTTTGGCAACAAAAACAAACAACTCAACAACTGTCTTCAAATCATTGATTTAAGTGTTGCCTAATCGCAAATACTGCATAATAAGTAGGTGAAATCATATGTTTAAAATGCACGCAAAGTGCCAAAAAAGACCTGATTACAGCAATCCTTCAGCAAAATTACCAAAAATGCTGTAAAAAGGCTCAATGTTTTGTTCAAGAAGAAGACAACTGAAACTCTACATTAGAGTTTCGTTGGACACTTCTACATTTTGGTTGTGGTATGTTTTACCAAACATGTTGTGTAAATACTGTGTCGTTACCACGTATTAACAAGTGGATTCAATATATCCGACATCCTTCTCAGTTTATGCTTTGCATTTAGTATTGTTGCCATAGCTACATTTGTGTTGTTTCTTCCTTCAATCAGCTCACTTCCTATTTGACTATTGTATTGTTCCACATGACAACAGACAGCGGCTGTCCTCGGGGATCCAACATAGACAAATAAGGATTTCTGATCCTAAGCATATAACTGATCCAGTGATCAGTCTTTTGGCAAAAGAAAATCAGTCTTTCGCCAAAATCAGAATGAGTATCTCACAGTGTGGTCCCTGCTTTAAGTGATAACACTATCAGGCTGTATGATGTGTAGGCAAAAGATGTATAGTGAGTGGGTTGTTGTGCAAAACTACATAAAACAGAGTGAATTTAAAGGGGAGGAGTCCTGGGATATAGACATTTTCCTCTTCACATGATCCTGCATACAATCACGTTGATGTAAAATTTAAACTTAAAATGATTTGATAGATTTAAAAACGATCTATATATGTAACTTACAATTCAGTCCCTTTGATTCACAGCTTACATGACAATGGTGTTAATAACAGCCTCCTCAGTGGGTCAAAGGGACATTAAACTTTACTTTGAAGTCTTACTTCATGGTACATTAGCATTCCCATTACTGCTCTAATGGGTAGTGTAAATAGTATAACGTCTAAACATTAGTGTCTTTCTGTTGGCAGTTGTAAAAGTGCCAACAGCTCTGATATTTTCCTCTCACTTAACAAGTCCTGTAACACTGCCAGGGTCCATACTTTGTTGTGGTTTGTGGTTTCTTTGTGTCTGTTTTCTTTAATTTGTTCGACGTCTGTTTGACTCAGCTCCATGTGTGTTTAAACTTCTCTCACTTGACATCACTCACTAATTCTGGCACTGTCTTCCTCCTGGTCTCCTCTTTGTTTCTCAGATGACTCGTACACCATTAACCACCTTTTTTTTTTTTTTTTTTTTTTTTGCTCTCCATAAATTCTTTTTGAAGAATCACAGTGTTGTTTACATTTTTTGTCATACTGTCAACAAAATGAGGTGAAATCATTAACTTTTAAAATGTGCCATATATTGTCTGAGGATTGATTCGATATGCGTCCCTTCTTTAATCCGGTCAACCAAAAAGCCATCGTAGCCACAAATCATCATAGCCATCAAACATATTTTTAGCTTTGCCTGGTTTCTTTAGCAAAGAGACTAAACACAACTCACCCACTCTCCTCCAGCAGCCGCTTGTTTGTGGGGGAGCCCTGACGAGTCGATCACCAAGTGCAGCGGATCATTTCCATGAAGAAATACTCATCATATTAATCATTTTGGACTGCAGATGTGGTAGTTCTTCTGCCTTAGCATCTCGGTCTGATTGCTTTTCCATAAAGCAATAATCATAAATGTTCTTTCTTGAGCTGCGAAACTCCGCTGCACTCGGTGATCAATTTGACAGGGCTCCCCCATAAACAGGCGGCGGCATGAGGAGAGTGGATAAGTTGTGTTTGGTCTCTTTGCTAAAGAAACCAGGCAAAGCTAGAAAGATGTTTGATGGCTAGTACTATGGCTGGGACCCTATATGTACTGTTGATGAAGTTAGATGCTGTTCTGAGCATTATTTGTGGCTATAGAGTGGCTTTTTGGTTGAAGTTTGCACATGGAGATTTAGATTGCTGTGTATTGCTATTGTGCGGTCTTTACTAAAGCTTGTATAACTAGAGAAGCAAGCAGTCAGCAACATTCATCTCTCGAGGGGGTGTCTAACTCAGTGTTATGGTGTGTTTGACCCTAACTTAGTTTTATGCCTGAATATCCCTTCAAGAGCCTGTAAGGAACTTTCTATCACTGTCGATTATGGTGCCCCCCAAAGGACAAAGTCATATTAAGTCCTTTTGCTGATCTTGTCTCGTTCTTGTCTCATTTTTTTTCTGATGAAAAAAACTTGATGTTTCATTTTATAAAGAGCCAACTATATCACAAGTGTTTAAAAAGCAGTTTCTCCAGCATGCTGGTCTGACACCCATCCCACACAGCAGATGTAGGCATTTAAAGTCACATTCTAGGATTTGTTGAACATGTTGCAGATGGCCTTAAAAGAGTCATCACTGCTAAAATCATTGTTTCAAAACCAGTTTGAGAAAAAATGCCAAAACCCAGGATCACTTTTGTTTTAATAAATTATCAGAACAACTAACAGACAGAATCATAAGTCTGAAACTGTATCCACATCAAGCCTTAACTGGAAGTTCTTTCAGGTTTTAAAAGACTTACATAAATCTGAAAATACTGAGGCATAGCACTGTTTTGTTTGATGCCTTTGGATGGAGCCAAGTTGGCTCACACCTCTTCTTTCTATTCTCAATGATGATGATTTCAGCTACAAGTCTAGCTTTCATTTTATTGTCAGCGTCCAGCCCAAAACTCAGCAAGTGCAGCCGACGAACAAGTGTCCCAAAATGTTGCACTGCTCCTTTAACCCCTAATATGGTGACCTGTAGATGTGTGATCAGTAATTCTGCTCACAGCAGCTTTGAAGTCAGTTCCAGCACATTTATGTGCAACAGAGTCATCTCCTTTCCCATCATTCCCTCTGTATGTGTGTGTATAAGAGCAGCTGACCTCCCTGACTCCCCTCCAGATGCTCCAGCTCTCTTACCTCATGAACTCCCCAGCACAGGCATGTCTACATTTAGACAATTTACAGCCCTGTTTCCAGAACCGCCCTCCTCCAGAAACCTCTAGACTGGTGCTTGACCTCCGGTGCTCTCCCTCACATCTCCCAGCCAGAAATCAGACATCATCTCCCTTTTCAGTTCAGCTCCACTCATAGAGGTTTGAGCCCGGCACTGTGCTCACAACTGGGCTTGTGTCCCCTCTTTTGTCAGGTATTTTATGATTCAAATTGAGATCATCAGCACCACTTCTGCTATAGTGCACTAAATTATATCAATGGACAGACAGATGTTCAACTCAATAGGGAATATGATTTGAATAATCATAAAAAAAACTTCCAGAAATGCTGCCAAGAGTCAGGCCCATTCATCAGTCAGGCTACAAGGACTTGGCAAGTTTTTCCACAGCATAACAAAAACAATGCATGTCGTTCACTTTCTTGGCGATGGAATCTTAACTTGAAATGTTGTTTTCATTGGGAAAGCTAGCAGGTCTTCTCTTTGGGGATTCACGTATCTATAAAAGTTTTACCTCAGTTTTAACATAAAACATCTAACAGTATGAATAAAACAGTGGGAGAAAATTGCTATACAGCGGTGTTTACCTTGTCCTTTGTCCACGAAGCTGGTGATGGTGTTGGCCAGCCCCGCTTCATGCAGCACGCTGCTGTTGAGGTCCCCGGTGGACAGAGACCAGTACAGCGACAGCATGTAGTCGTGGGGAATAACCAGTGGCTGTTTGTGATGCGATTCCCGGTTCGTTAGTTTCGGGGATTTGAAACTTGTTCCTCGCTGTGCCGCTGGACCTGGGGTCTGCTGCTTCTGCTGCTTCTGCGCACCGAGTGTTCTCTGAGGTGGCCCCGTGCGCATCGGTGAAACTGCACCCGCTTTTGGGGCAACTTTCCCAAACTGTTTCCCCGGCAAAGAACCCTTAGTAGCAGCCGCCGTCCCGACTCCTCTCCCCGCGGTGGACACGCCAAAAGCTGCAGGAGCGTGCGCTTTGACGTGGCCATCCCCGCCGGGCAGCCAGGAGCGCACTGCCTCTTTGCGCCCCAAGCTGACTGCTCTGTCCCGCTGCTGCTGCTGCTGCTGCTGCTGCGCACGATTCAACGGCGCTGATCCGCCGCGCACTGACGAGGATGAGGATGCAGAATCCTTGGCTGGAAATTTAGTTTTGGTAACAGAAGCTTCACCCTTGATTAACGGTGGACCTGCACGGATACGCGTAATCCTTGCTGGACTCACCGGGGAGGGTTTCCAAGTCCCAGCTGCGGTCACAACTGGTCTCCCCTTGGTTGCTTCAGAGGTGCCCCTGATGGTTTGCCCTCTTTCACCGCCGCCCGCAACGCGCTCCGCTGCCTCTCCAAGTCGGTGTTGGTGGTGCTCGCTCGGTCTGGTCCGGCTGAGTGAACCGAGGACGGGATGCAGGTAAATAAGAGTCCAGCAGCTGAGCAAGAGAAAAAGGCGCTTCACAACTTTCATCCTAATGTCCTTTTGCCCTGTGGCAGGCAGTCATTGTACTAAACATCAGTCTGTCCCGATTAAAACTATCTATTTAGATAAAATAAGAGGAGAGAGCAGTCCTGTTCGGTCCGAGTCTTGCATCCTCTGAGTTTGTGCTTTGCTCAGCCAAAGATGAATTGCGTAAAGTGTGTCTCTCCAGACTCAAAAAGGCTATAGACATGTGCCAAGTTGTAAAAGCATAAATGTGGACTGTAACCGATTTTAATAAGCTGAAGAAACAAATTCTGCAACAGATCCTTATTCTCCCATCCGTCATCTGTTTGCACCATAGTGCTGCAGAGATCCTGTATGTGATGGAAGTGAAGAAATCCAAGAAAAGGCTGAGGGAAAAAGTGCACTTGCTTTGCGCACTCTACGGCACGATTCTGCTGGATATGTTGTAAGAAACTTCTTTAAATCCCACTTTTTTTTTCCAAGAGAGGCAAGAATGGCGTAATGCCGCTGCCTCCGCTTTTTTTTTCTCTTTCCCTTCAAAGTTTGAACTCCGTCCAGTGAAAATATTTCACTCACACACCAGCCTGCAGGTGCTCGAAAAATCCTCCAACAAACCTGAGCGCAGGAATTGGAAACGGAATTCCAGAGAGCTGTTTTAATTACAACGTGATGTCATGCTGTCTAAACTCATTTAGCAGCAACATTTCTGCTCAAATCTTCCTCCCCACTTTCCACCAGTGACTCATACAAGCTGTAGCCTGTAGCGCAAGATGGCAAGAAAATGCCCCCCCTCCGACACACACACACACACACACACACACACACACACACACACACACACACACACACACACACACACACACACACACACACACACACACCCCAGGAAAAAAAAAAGCAAAAAGAAAAGTTTGGCATTATGTCATTTGAAGGGAACACTTTTCTAAAAGTTTCACTCTCTCTAAACGAAAGAGGCGTCATAATGTCAGGTTAGCAGTGTCACATGTTCACTAGACAAATGAAGCTGATAAGAGAAGTTATCTGATGTTTAATTTTGGTAAAAGTATCGATACTGGTTTCAGTAAAAAATAAATGTATTAGTAAAGTTTATGAAGTAACATGTCAAACCATCATTGTCTTTTCTTTCTATAATTTAGCTGATTGCATCTTTTTCTTAAGGTTTCCTAAAAATATCATGATAGTAATGTTATCACAAAGGTTTTGGCCAAACAAATCATGAGGGGAAAATCTCATTTCATCACAGCCTCTCAACAAAAGTCTGTCTAATTCCACGGTTCATAGTGCTTCCATTGACAGTGGATTTTTACCAGCTTTCTAGTGAAGTGGATTGACCTAAAACATATTTATTTATGGTCAGCCCTAACATTAGCCATCTGACATCAAACTGAACATTTCTATCAAAGGGAAAATTACAATGAGCATGGTGTAGAACTGCTCTTTTTGGAAAGATTCTTGGGTTAGTGACTGTTGTGACTTGGCGCTACATAAATATTGATTGATTGATTGAAGTGAACAGGACATCTGCAAGAAAATGAGGATCGAAAACGAGCAAAAACAAGGTAATGTAACAACTTTAGACCAAGCAGCAACCTTCAGTCTTGAGAAATGAAGCCACTGCCAAAGTGCCCAAACTGTAGTTCCTGCAGTGTCCACTAGAGATCCGCTCCAAAAATAGTCGATGCCAAATATTTACCCATTAAAAAGTCAAACATGGATTGGGTATGAGCAGTAAATCTCTCTAAACGCACAGTGGCGCAAAATACAGTTCAACAAAGATAAGGTCCTAAAATAAAGACTTTAAATAAAGGATTTTAATGAACAGAGAAACAGAAAATCTTACCAGCAAGAGACCAAAACCAGAACTACAATAAAACCACATAGAAGAACACATAATGAACTGAAATAGGCAAAGGGAAACAGAAGGTTTATCTGAAAAGTCCAAAAATGTACTTCCTAACTACTTTCCCATCCAGTTTTCCTTAACCCTAATTGCAAACGTGAAGGAGTCAAGGAAAGGTGTATATATGAGAAGCTAGGAGAAGACAATTATTGTATTTGGACTCAGAGGAAAAACTAAAAACTATATTTTGCCATAGATGGACTACAAAGAGCATGGTGCACGCTTATGCTGCGTTCCAGTTGTTCTCGGAAGTCAGAGTTTTTGAGCTCCAAGTCAGAAATTCATCTGGAACACCCCCCTGAAGTCGGATTTCCAACTCGGAAAGTCGGATGATCCTCACCAACCCCGACTTGATGACAACGTCATAATCCAAGATGACAGCGCAGTGCATCAACAGAAAAGAGTAACAGTGAAAGCTCTATTTATCAGCACTTCTGTTTTATTTTTGTGAAATTAAATAAGTGGTATATCTTGTACTGTCCAACGTCTCACAGAGAACACGGTGCTGTGGTGTTTGTAACAGTAAAATACTGTGTTATACGTTGTTTACAACTGGTATTACTAACAACAACTAACAACAGCTAATAACGGTGTTACTGTGTTGATTTGTACGGACACATAAACGGTAAAAACTCTGTGGTAAGTGTGAAACCAACAGGTAAGTACAGGTAATGAGGAGGATCATCTGCTCAGGATGAGACAGTCTGAATGACAGTGTACAGTGGTCAACATTTCTCTATTAGTTTTAAAGAAGAGGTTTTGCTCGCTGTTATCATAGCCACTCGTGGTTTAAGTTCTTAGGGAGAGATCTAAGCCTTGGAGACACTCTCTCCAGCTCTATCGTGTCAAAGGGCAGATCTGCTGTAACTCCATGTGAGTTTGATATAATCTGTGTAATCTGACTGTCCCCTGGTAACCTTGTCCTTCTTTATATCCACGGTAACTTCTTAATTTTCCTCCCTTTACTCAAAGACAGGGGCCTTATTTTGACTCTGAAACTCTATGGCGCTTTAATTTACAATGCCACAAGGAGCGCCAACTTCGTGTCATAAATTTTGTTTCGACCAGGCTCGAGGAATAATTACCAGGCAGAAAGCCGGGGTTCAGATTTTGTGATCTTGGCAGTCCATGAGGGTCTCTGGTGGTTTGTAACACTAGCTGTGTTGTGGTTCAGTGTTTCTCTTTCTGCTCCGTCTCTCTGAACTTTCATTCTGTATTTTCTTTATCGGAGTCTTATACTGCACAGCTCTGGTATGATGGATGAACAGAAGTGATTGGATAATATAAGGCTGTCGTGGATCACACATAAACTCAACCTGATCCAGTCAGTTTGATTAAACAGCAAAAAGATATGAGGAACTGTGACTGGCCAAAAACTGCAGCAAAGTTTCTCCAGCGTGGCGCATTAACAGGGTATACTGTTTTTCTCCCCAGTATTTCAGTTTGTCGTTGTACTTTGGACCACACTGACTTTATAGGCTGATAACTTGAACTAAAACACAAACAGAACTGTAAATTATTTGTCTTTAAAATATGGCTATTGCAAAGTTACCCTGTTTCCCTCTGCACAGAAACACACAGCCCTTCCAACAGTGGTCAGTAACCCTTGAGTGCAGTACCTGTACCGCACCTTTACGGTAAATATTGAGTTCATGGTTTGAGACAATGTCATGCAATTCTTTGCTGCAAGTTTTGAGCTGAATTGTTGAAGAAAAATTTCTAGTTTTAATTAAAGATGTGTATAATTAACAAAAACTATTAACCTAGTAAAAGTATTTCAATGTCATAGAAGAATAAAACCAGCTAAAGTCACAACCTTCAATAGTTTCTCTGTGTGAGAGGGCAGGTGTTTGTCAAAGGGTTACAGTAAAGACTCTGACATACAAGAATGAATAAAATGTTCAGCTCAGCAGACTTGAAGCCAACTTTCTATTAAAAAGACGGACGAAAGGAAACAGGAGAAAATATATTTTCTTGTTCAGCCTTGGCTTGTGTGACAGGTGAGAAAAAGGGAACGTGGAATACATTTGCTCAGGCTGGAGTCCAAAATTATGAGTAAAAGGCAACTGAAACTTCATACCAACACATTTATATAAAGTTTGTATAATATTTACAATGTTTGAAGACTTTGTTACAGGCACTCAGTTTGGATTTATAATTCTTGTGCATGTTACAAATCCATTCTCACAGATTACACATTTGCACCTGTCAAGTTGTATACAACCATCATTTTACCCAGCATCCCCTGCTCTTACAGATTGGGCTTTTTCTTCTTGCAACTGAAACACAAAAAATACACCTGATAAGGAGTGTGACACCGCACCTCTTATCGCTGTTTGGGTTTGTAGCAGAGGGTAAGAGAGTAAAACGTCATTGCTTCAACAGGCTAATGGTCGAATGCCTCTCTAACAATATTCAGGACATTCCTCAGATGTTAAATTTGAAGTCCTTTGTCTCAGTGTGCATGCTTTTAACTTCTTTTAAAAATAAACAGAGCTTATGTAAAAGCCTGCTGCACGCTATCATGAGCATTTCCAGCAATGAATCACTACTATGGTATGAAACACACCCCTATGTTACATGTAAAGAAACAGCCTGGGGCAAAGGAGGTCTGAGTGAGCTCCACCTCTCCTATGACTCATCTGAGACAAAACAGGAAACACTTTATTTCTCTTTACTAGAGAGACACACAGACTGGAAAACAGACGGTTGGATTCACCTTCAGATCAAACTAAGAGCTGCTGAAGAGGAGAAAAACTACAAAACTGCAACACTGCTGCTTCAACCTGCTGCCTCTCCAAACTGTCAAGGTGAGTTTGAAAAAAACAGGACTCAAAGTGAAAGTAAAGAGCCGTGACTGACTCCTCTACAAATGCTGTTTTTGTTCATTTTCCCGCAGGCGAGTAATGGCGTTTAGATCAGAGGAGGATCTCAGCTGCCTGATCTGCAGAGACATCTTCAGAGAACCGGTTGTGCTGTCGTGCACCCACAGCTTCTGCAAAGACTGTCTGCAGAGCTGGTGGAGACAGAAACAAACACGCGAGTGTCCAATTTGTAAGACTGTATCTTCGAGTGAACATCCTCCTGTCAGTCTGGTGTTAAAAAATCTGTGTGAGGCCTTTTTGTTGGAGAGAGAAAAGAGACCAGTGGATGATCTCTGCAGCCTGCACTCTGAGAAACTCAAACTCTTCTGTCTGGACCATCAGCAGCCGGTGTGTCTCGTCTGCAGAGACTCAGAAATACACGCGAATCACACCTTCAGACCCATCGATGAAGTCGCACGTCAACATAAGAAGAAACTTCTGGAGTCCTTGAAGGAGAAGCTGCAGATATTCAGGAAAGTGAAACTAAAGTGTGACCAAACTGCAGAGCACATTAAGGTTCAGGCTCAGACCACAGAGAGGAGGATCAAGAAGCAATTTAAGAGGCTGCACCAGTTTCTACAAAAGGAGGAGGAGGCCAGGCTGGCTGCTCTGAGGAAGGAAGAGGAGCAGAAGAGTCAGAGGATGAAGGAGAGGATGGAGGCTTTGAGCAGGGAGATAGATGATCTTTCAGACATCGTTGGAGCGACAGAGGGGGAGCTGAGAGCTGAGGACATCTCATTCTTGCACAATTACAAGGCTGCAGTGCAGAGAGTTCAGCAGCGCCCCCTGCTGGATGACCCACAGCTGCTCTCTGGCGCTTTAATAGATGAAGTCAAAAACCTGGGCAACTTGAGCTTCAATGTTTGGCTCAGGATGAAGGACTTGGTCTCTTACACTGATATTTTTCTGGATCCAAACACTGCTCACCCGGAGCTCATCCTATCTGAAGATCTGACTGAGGTGAGATTAGGAGAGGAGAAGCAACTTCCTGACAATCCAGAGAGGATCGATAATTATAACTCCATCCTGGGCTCTGAGGGTTTTAACTCAGGGATCCACAGCTGGGACGTCCATGTTGGGAACAGTAAAGTCTGGACTCTGGGTGTTTCTGCAGAGTCTGTCCACAGGAAGGGACGCATCCACTCTGGATTATGGGGGATCTGGTTTGATGAAGGTGAATACTCAGTATGGTCACCTCCGACTCCAGCCTCCGACCTCCTAATAGGGAGGAAGTTTGAGGGGATCAGAGTGACTTTGGACTGGGACAGAGGACTGCTTTCATTTTCTGATCCTGATAGTAACACACACATTCACACCTTCACACACACTTTCACTGAGAGGCTGTTTCCTTATATAAACACTGTGGATGAGCGTCCATTGAAAATCTTACCAATGAAAATCAGTGTGAGGGTGGAGAAGAACAGTCGAATATGAGCAAGAACTTAAGACGTTTGGTGTTTTCGTCTCTTAGAGCCTCTGTGAGGAGTTTTTAGCAGGTTTTTAAATGAAATAAAATTAACTGTGATTTTTAACTTTCATAAGAAAACATGACTGTTCTTGTAACATCACACTCAGGGTTGAAAGCTGTTAAAGTGTGTTTCAGGTCATAAACTGGATAAACATCAATAATCTGACATGCTTCGGCCATGTCCTCTCCCCGATTAACTAGCATGCTGAAGACTGCTGACATGACATTTGTCCAGAGGATGGTGGGGAAAGTTTTGGTGGTAGTTTTGACACTGTGGGCAGGTGCTACTTTCCTATATACCCCAAATACAGTGTTATCCTATAACCAAGTTCAGTCCACTCAACCACAATCATGGGGAATATTGCTGACCAGACAGTTATCTAGACGACCATCACTGACGTCCTCCACAGTGAGGTAAAGCTACAGAAGGTCACTGTCAGAGTGCTGTATGGAGGCAGATGATCAAGGTGACCAAGCAACAGGGATGAGTGCAGCTTCGGAAGGATTGTCAAGAAATGCATAATATGAGGACTTACGAACATGAATAAGCAACTACCAAGACAATAGAAGGTAACACTGCAGTTTTTCTTCTTTTGATGCACTAAAAATTAGACAAAAGTACCTGATTAGATTTGTTACAGCACACTTCCCACAATGGAGATTTAAGATACTCCTTTATTAGTCCCACAGGGGGGAATTTTGATTTTAACCCCAACCCGGTTGTTGTATCCTCTACAAACTTTCCCTGATTCTTAATAATTGTATTTACCCATTTGTTGATTTATTCAAAGAGAATTTCTGATACATGAGAAAGTATTTCTCATGTGACTAGTTCTCAAAACAAAAAGCTCAAACTGCAAAACCTAGTTGATAACCTGCAAAAGCATGTCACTTACTCAAAATGGATAATCTGTTCTTCAAAAGCAAGTATTCATGTTCATATTCATTCACCGTTGTCTATGAACCAGGTAGTTAAATCAGTTTGTCATGTTTTCAGTATGACAGTTCACCCTATAGGTGTTTTCAAATGCAAAAAGAGTCAGATCTTGGTGAAACTACCTGAAAATGCTTAAGACAGCAGTATACACTATTTGCACAGCCATCTGAAAACTACAGTAAAGTTACACATAACTGTATTTAAAGAGGTAACTGAGTACAAGACACTGAATACTTGTCCTGTGCGGAGTAAAATCACAGTAGTATACAGTAAACATGAAATATACTGCATTAACTCGTATTACTGTAGTGTACAATAACAGTACTTCCCACTTGTAAAATGCTGCAGTACAGTACCTTACCGTAAATATGGCAAATCTTTACTGTAAACATTACTGTACTCTACATTAAAGTAAATCTGTGCTGCAGTAAAGCTGTAAGTCTAAATGTAAAAAAATGAAAAAGTTCTTGTCTCACTGTGAGCTTCATGCAATGTTGGGGAAGTTACTCCGAAAAAGTAATTCGTTACTTATTACTCATTACTTCTGAAAAATGTAATGAAATTACTTTACTCATTACTTCATTTGAAAAGTAACTTCACTACTTATTACTTTACTTTGCTGTTTTTTAATCTACCGTTCAGATACATGCACAAACTTCATAGTGCCATAACTTTGTGTTTATTGAATAAATGTATACAAAATAGTGCCTTATAAATTATTAATTTAATTATCTTCCTAAACCTGGGAGATTCTATTGTGGACAGTGGAAGCATTTCTTCTACGATGAACCCTGCAGCCAGTCTTGTTATTTCTTGATGTGTTACCTGCTTCTGTGCTCCGATGGTTGAGAAAAGCTTGGCTTGTTTAGAGGGTGGTCGGCTGCTGATCAACTCCCTCGGTTTGCCGGAGAGCAGGCTCTTTCGCCACAAGTTTTGTACTAGCATGAACGTTAGTCAAATGTTTGGCGAGGTTGCTCATAGACTTTGCAGAAGTTGAAAGCTGTCTGTCGCCGGGACATATGGTGCATTTTACTCTTATATCTTTGTCCTTACGAGCAACAAATTCAAAATCGTGACTATATCGCCAGTTTCGCCACTTAGCAAAGCCGCTCTCACTCGCCGTGTCCGACTCCATTTTCCCTCTTCCCGCGCAGGCGCGCACCACGCAACTCTATCACTATGGCAACGCTCTGGCGTCACACACACAGGCAGGAAGCGCGTTCGCATGCAGGCACCGCTGACGGATCAAAACTATTCACATTGGCAAACAGAGCTTGGGTAACGCAGGAAATCGCGTTCCTCTGGTCTAGTAAAGTAGTGTAGTTACTGATATTTTTAATGTAACGCCCTACTTTACTTCGTTACCCCAAAAAAGTAAAATCGTTATGTAATTCCGTTTCTTTGTAACGCGTTACTCCCAACACTGGCTTCATGTATAACATAATGACAGTCATACAGTGTTGATTGTTTAGTGCTGAATTCATGTCCAATCGACACACCTGTTCTCCTGACCAATAACTGAATTTACAGTGTTTCTCCCAACATTTGGCTGCCCCCTTCAACCAGCCTCAGCCACTGTGAGGCTGTGATTGACAACATGGTCCATAACTGTAGTCCTAATTTCGTCAGGAATCTGTCTATGTACTTGGCCTCTTCTTCCTCTCCCCCGTTTAGTCCCCGTCCTCCCCACATCCTCCCCTCTCTTCCACCACATTGACCTTTCATACCTGTGTCACAGTATTGTAGAAAGGGTACACACTATGTTCTGCTGTGAGGGTTCATGGGATTTAGCTCTCAGTGACTGTGGAGAAGCAGCTTATCATTAGTTGGACCAACGCCTCATACAGCCCTCCTCATCAGTGAAAGCTGAGGTTCATCTAAGAGAAATTTTGTATTTTGGGAGAAATTTTCAAGAAAAAAAAAGATCAATATTTTTATAACATTTGACAGATTTTGAGAACTAGTCCAACATTTTTGTATGTAATGACTCAAGCAATTAAATGAGGACAATTAGTTTTATAGGGAATGACTATTCAACATTGATAAATATAGTTCATTGTGACACTGATGTGAGAAAATTATGTTATAAAACTGCAAAGAATTGTATGAAAAAAATTGATGCATGTCCAAAAGCATTTGCAATTAGATTAAAGGAATGAGAAACTGCTGCTATGATGTGCACAAATGACTCAGTGTTGTGGAGATTGAATTAACAGTTACGAGAATTTTAATTCTGATCAGAGAAATGCACCAAAGCCACTGATGAAAACTGTAAGTTGCCAGGGTCACCTTCCAACACTGAGGTCTGTTTAGTTCTTATAAACATCATATTCTTGGCAGGCAGAGGTTCTACGACTTCTGACCTGAAACATGGTAGTAAAACATGATAATAATCAAGCTTTCAACACTGAGTTTGACGCCATAAGAAGACGGCCACCTTCTGGATATGGTCTATTGCTCTTCTGTAATTTAAAGTTGGTTTAATAAACTTTCCACTGCTAAACTTGTGTTCATGTTCACAACAGGGTTGTCTTTTGTCCACAGGGGGAGCCAAATCAACTTTTCACAAGAGCTTTTAAAAAGGGGTGTTATGAATTTTTGAGACTCTATACTATATGCAGTTTATATCTATTTTCTAAGATTATGAAAACTTAGACCTATAAATACTATAGGGATGGATGGATGGATGGAGCCATGCAGAAGTGGGTAGAGTAGCCAAAACTTGTACTCAAGTAAGAGTAATATTACCTTTTTTTTTTTTTTTTTTTTTAAATGTGACTCATGTAGAAGTAAAAAGTACCCATCTAAAAAATTACTTAAGCAAGAGTAAAAAAGTACTTGAAAAAGTGAAAAAAAATAAAATTACTCAAGTAGTGAGTAACTGCAATATCTGATTTATTTGTCATGTGTGCATGAATTCAATCAGGTGGACCATAGCAAGTATACTTAATTAAAGGTATAGATTTTCATTTTACCTCTGTTGCATTTTTCCTTGCCTCAGTGACAACAAAAGCAAAAAAAATTCTCATCTTGTCCCACTCTCTCCTGATACTTTGATATGGAGTCATGTAGTATAAGCTTTCGTGGAAGCGTCTCTCGCACAATTTAAAAAAAAAAGGGTAATCACTTGGATAAAAAGAGAAAGAAGAGAAAGTTATGTTTCATCCTCACAAAAATACTTGAGTAAAAGTAAAAAGTATTGCACATTAAAGTTACTCATAAAAGTACAATTTATCAAACAAACTACTCAGTAAATGTAACTGGTTATAACACACCTCTGGAGCCATGTAATCTAAACAGAATTAAATCATAGTATTACATAATGACAGGGTTCATAGCTTCCTGCTAAATCCATTGAAGGTGCAATTTCGTTTCACACACACTTTCACTGAAAGATATTTTCACTTAGCATGTTGTGCAAACACGCATTTTGCTGCCACACATCCACAAGTGGGTTCAGTATTTCTGTCAGCCATCTAAATTTAATATTAAATCGCAGCAGGTAAAATATTACTCCTGCTGTTTCGGCTTATTTTTTTAAATACAGCTGTTTGCACAGGGAGAAAGGTTTGATCTGCTCTAAATAATTCATGTCAACATCATTGTGAGTTACACTTTGTGTTTTTGTCGAGGTTTAGTGAACAATGTCTTCACTTTATTCTTAAATATGAAAAGTAGTTATTTTCTGAGACAGGGAGAATTTCAAATGAAGGCCTGCCTCTAATAAAATCCTGTTTTATATGAAGGCCTGGTAGCTGAGGCTGTAAAATCAAATACCTCAACAAAAGTTGTCTCTAATTCAGTTGCCATGGAAACATCAACACAAACATGTCTGATAACTTGAGTCTTTTGTTTACGTTTGAATTTGAATTTTGACAGAATTTATGACCTGACCAAGGACAGGATGTATGTATTTGAGCATCTAAAAGCTTGTGAGCTTCTTCGATTGCTAGAGAGAGACAGACAGATAGAGAGATATCAAATCCAAACCCTGTAACATCAATTGAACTGTTCGGACTGATCAGTGATTCACAAAGTTGGAAATCATCGGTGCTTGAGAATCGTGAAATCCAAATCTTTTTTATGCCAATCAAACTGATCAGCTTTGAGAACAATGAAATCAAAATCTTCAGATCTTTGTTTCTTCCGTGCAGAAGAGAGTAAGTATTGGGAATGGTTAGAGACCAAACTCATGTCTAGTTTACCTTTGATCACTCTGAAATAGGTTGAGGACTACACGGTTGGTTACATGAAGCAGGTGAAGCTAACATGATTTTATCTTTCTGTTTTTTTCAGGGAGTTTCTTGGACCCTCTAGAATGCAGATTGGGAGAACGTGAGAACAGCTGCAAGAGAAAGTCTGAGGAGCCGCTCAATGAAAGACCCAGCAAGAGGAGCAGGACGAGCCTAAGTCCCTCCGACAGCGGCAACCTGAAGGTTCACTGTCTTTCACTGAGTTCAGACTCCTCCACTGAGTCCTCTGTCTGCTCAGGTAAGATGAGAAAGAAATGACAGAAAAGTTAATTAAGCTTGTGTTAATCGGGTAAATGCTACTTTGAGACATAATTCATGTAAACATCATTGTGAGTTAGACTTTGTGTTTTTGTTGAGGTTTAGTGAACAATGTCTTCACTTTATACTTAAATATGAAAAGTAGTTATTTTCTGAGACAGGGAGAATTTCAAATGAAGGCCTGCCTCAAATGAAGGCCTGTTTTATATGAAGGCCTGGTAGCTGAGGCTGTAAAATCAAATAACCCAGCAAAAGTTGTCTCTAATTCAGTTGCCATGGAAACATTAATACAAACATGCCCGATAATTGGAGTCTTTTGTTTACGTTTGAATTTTGACAGAATTTATGACCTGACCAAGGACAGGATGTATGTACTTGAACATCTAAAAGCTTGTCAGCTTCTTCGATTGCTTGAGAGAGAGAGACAGACAGATAGAGAGATATCAAATCCAAACCCTGTAATATCAATCGAACTGTTCGGACTGATCAGTGATTCACAAAGTTGGAAATCATCGGTGCTTGAGAATCGTGAAATCCAAATCTTTTTTTTTTTCTTTTGAAATCCAAATCTTTGAATACCAATCAAACTGATCAGCTATGAGAACAATGGAATCAACATTTCCAGATGTTCGTTTCTTCTGTGCAGAAGAGAGTAAGTATTGAGAATGGTTAGAGACCAAACTCATGTCTTGTTTACCTTTGATCACTCTGAAATAGGTTGAGGACTACACGGTTGGTTACATGAAGCAGGTGAAGCTAACATGATTTTATCTTTCTGTTTTTTTCAGGGAGTTTCTTGGACCCTCTAGAATGCAGATTGGGAGAACATGAGAACAGCTGCAAGAGGAAGTCTGAGGAACCGCTCAATGAAAGATCCAGCAAGAGGAGCAGGACGAGCCTAAGTCCCTCCGACAGCGGCAACCTGAAGGTTCACTGTCTTTCACTGAGTTCAGACTCCTCCACTGAGTCTTCTGTCTGCTCAAGTAAGATGAGAAAGAAATGACAGAAAAGTTAATTAAGCTTGTGTTAATCGGGTAAATGCTACTTTGAGACATAAGAGCAAGTCGCGTACCAGATAATTGGAACTGGAGAGTCATGTACCAGTGTGCCTGGTTTGGCATTTGATGTTGGCTCTCTGATTTTTTAATTCATGTCAACCTTATTCTAGCTGGCTTCCATGAATAATATGTTTATATTTGTGTCCTCTCTTGTCTTCTTGGTTGTCTCCCTTGTTCAGAAGACAGCTGGTTCCCCTTTCTGAGCAGTGAGTCTGTGCCAAAGACGAAGAGCAGCAGTAAAAGAAAGGCCACCACTGATGTGACTGAAGAGAGCCCAAGAAAGAGAGGCAGGCTCACCGCCACTGCTGAAGACCACCTTGAGACCTCCAAAGGGAACCTTCACGTCTCATCAGCAGAAATTTTCTATTCCAACACAAGTGGTAAGATAGCAAAGAAATGAAATTTTTACATAAAGGCCTTATGAAATTCAATGTTGAGTATGTTTGATCATTGCAGTACAATTCTTAGTAGTAAGTAAGACTAGTTTTATTAAACTGTTTTTGTGTTTCTTGTTTTTGTAGCTGCCCTCCACGCAAAATATACAGAGAGGGACCTGCTTGGAGTAGGAGGATACGGTGCAGTCTATGATGGATTTAGAAATGAGGACAATCTACCAGTAAGATTAAATGTTCCATACACCATACACTTTATGTACCAGTGTATAAACATCCCCATGCTTTTTCGCTTTGTACTCAGTGTGAGCTAACCATGGTCTTCCTGTGTTTCCTTTAGGTTGCCATCAAACATATTCCTCAATCACGCGTTAAGCGCATATCGGTAAGTAAGGGACTGTGTCCACTCACAGCTGTTGATTTTTATAAACTGACAGCGCCCAATTCTCAGTTTCAGACACTTTTTACAATGTTATTTTGTTTAAAAAAATGTCCTCTGTCACTTCAGTTCCATGACAAGTGACTGATTTTAGTCTGTGAGAAAATGCTCCATATTTTTTTTATTCTATTTTTTTATTTTAAGATTAACGAGGAAAACATCGACTCTGTCCCCCTGGAGGTGGTGATCATGCAGAAAGTGCAGTCAGGCACCCCAGGAACCAGTGCAGTCGTGGCCCTGCTTGACTGGTACGATCTAGAAGAGGAGCTGATACTCGTCCTAGAGAGACCAGTGCCCTGCATGGATCTGTTTGATTATGTGTTACGAACAGAATCCCACATAACAGAGAGTGAGGAAATAGTAAGTACTTGATGAAATGAGTTTTGCAGTGTTTTCTTTTTGCACTGTCTGCACCATGATACTCAATCTGTGTGTATCTCCCTTTCCACCTCAGATCCTGACAAAACAGTTGGTAGATGCCCTCATAGAGATCCACTCAAGAGGAGTTTTCCACAACGACATCAAGTTGGACAACTTCCTGATCGAGTATGGCTCTGCAGTCCCTCGTGTGAGACTTATAGACTTTGGCTGCAGCACTTTTCTGACTGAGGGGACGTACCATTCACGGCAAGGTAAGCTGTCTCTCAATAAACATTGTTGTTTAAGGGCTTTCCACAAGCATCAGGTAGTCAGTCAATGTAAAAAAGTAGGCCACTTACAGTGTTAGCAGTCACTGTATGAACTGAGTTTGAGATTTTAAAATATCAGATATAAGTTTGCAGTGGCCTTTCTTGCCAATAGCCAGTGTCTGTGGAAAGCCCTGTTCTCTTTTTGAAACCTACCAAACAAAGTTGCTGTGTCAGTCCACAACATCTTTCCTAATCTCCTCTGTGTGTGTGTGTGTCTTTTGTAGGAACCTCTGTGTTTAGCTCCCCTGAGTGGTTCATCACGAAGAGCTACAGAGCTGAACCAGCTACAGTATGGCAGCTTGGAGTAGCAGTTTATACTATGGTTCATGGATGCTATCCTTTTGATACCACTGAGGAAGTCATTTACAACGAGCTACATGTCGACAGAAAACTTTCCAACAGTAAGTAATCACACCCACATAAAGTCAGTTTAAGCACAGTTAGATCCACAGTAAGTGTTTGTATTCGACCATTGACCATTTCTGTTTTGTCTCTCCAGACTGCAAGGATTTTCTGTTCAAGAGTCTGTCTAAAAATCCAGAGACAAGAGCAACCCTGGCAGCACTAAGGGACCACCCTTGGCTGGCATAAAACAAACAAACAAACAAATAAATAAAGAAACACAAAGGCTCACTGAGAAGTACAAGTCTGAGGTCCTCATTGTCAAACCAGAGCCAAAGATCTAGTCTCACATAGACCAGAGCATCCCAAGCTAAAAACAACAACAAAAAACTAACTAAAAAAAAACTAAAAAAAAACTAAAAAACTAAAAAAAAACCTCCAAAAAACAAACAAACAAAAAAAACTCCAAAAAAACAAAAACAAAAACCTCCAAAAAAACTCAAAAAAAAAAAAAAAAAAAAAAAAAAAAAAAAAAAAAAAACCTTGTGGATTTTCTCTCCCCGTGGGAGGGTTTTTATTCCTCTCCTCGAGCTACCACCTTACCATGGTGGAGGGGTTTGCGCATCCCAATATTCCCAGGAGCTATGTTGTTGGGGGCTTTATGCCTCTGGTAGGGTAACCCATGGAAAACATGTCCTGGGAGTGGGATCAGACTAAGGGTAGCTCAAATAGATCTCTTATGAAAATAATTGGTACTAAGTTTCACTTGCCCAGAAGAGGGTCACCAGGGCCCTGCTAATGATTACTAGAAAAACTGCATTTCCTTGTAGAAAATGCATGGAAATGCTGGGTGCTGAATGCTAAAAGCTGAAAAAGCAATGCAAAACTGAGGTAATGGAGGACGGTATTAATGGAAAAACTGTTGAAGGGGTGAAGAAGAAGAAGAAGAAGAAGAAGCAGAAGAAGTTGAAAAAAATTTGAAAATTGTTGAAGGACAAATAATATGAATATGCTACATAAATTGAAATTGCATCCATGCCGAAAGAGGCTGAAAAAGTGTATGAAATTGCACAAAATTTGTATGATAATTACCTTAAAACACAGAAAAGTGAGAAGTGGACAAAGTTTAAGTTGTAGTGCTACAAGGTGTATGATAATAAGTAGTTGTAGTAGTGATTTTAGTAGTCATATTAATTGTAGTAGTAGTTTTAAAATAGAAGAAGTTGAAGTAAAAGTAGCAGAGCTAGTGATAGAAGTAATAGTAGCAGGAAAGAAAGTATTAATTGTAGCAATAGTAGTTGAAGTAGAAATGAAGTTACTAGTTAGAGTGATACAGTTGAAACCAGAAGTTTACATACACTATATAAAAAGGCACATAACCTTTTTTTCTCACCGTCCAACATTAAATTGGATGGTCAATTTTGGTCAATTAGGATTACCAAAATTATTTTTATTTGCTAATGATTTGAAACCTCTTTTGTGAGAAGCAGGACTTATTTACCTCCATTTTGATGTATTTTTTATGGCTGTGGAGTGAAATTTGTGGGTGTGGGAGCGATATATTTCAGCAAGGTTTTGTTGATCAAAGATGATCTTCCACTCTAGCCCTCCGATACACACCCATTATAAAGCCTGAAATTTGCTGACAACAATGATCTCCCCATTCATTTTAATAGGAAATAAGTGGAAATGCTTAATCAGCATTTCCACTTAATGGTTGATGAATTTAAATGACTAACTTGAGCTGTCTCTTTCTCATTCCTTTACATGGTTTTCGAAATAACTAAGGATTTATTTAAGACTGACCCACTATTTTATTTTTATTTTTATTTTTTTTGACCCACTAAATAAAGCAACGAACAAAGCACTACAGCATACCGTACATATGATACTGTGGCAGCTTTGGCAAGTTTGGCCGTAAAGGAGACATGTTTAAGACTTATTAGGGTTGATTTTTCCACATTAGATAATCGTAAACCAGACAGTTTGGTGACATGAACGGTTAAACGCCATATTCTTGCCCATACTGACAGCCTTTGTCTGAGTCTGCTTTGCCATGTCAGGACAATAATAACTCATTGAGGGCGAGAGGTGTGTGGGCTGGACTGCTGACATTTAGACGGACAGGGGTGAGTGACGCTGCTGAAGCCACACGACCAGACAGCGTCTGCTGGGAGGTTAAACCAATAAAATAAAGACTCAATTTGTTACCATGCCAACAGCGTTCCAACACTCAGAGCTACTGCTCAGAGACATACAGTGCTGCTCTGTCATGGAGACTTGGAATTTCTGCTACCGTCTAGCTAAAACATCACACCTTTGGGTAAAAAAAGTTTGTTTAGACGTCTGAAAATATAAGGCATTTATGGTTTTACTGTTTTCCTCTAATGTATTGCTTCCACTATAATTAAGGTTTTATAAATAACTGCACTAACTGAGGGTGAAATGTTATTATGCAGAATTTCTCCGGCAGTATTGTCAGACAGGAAGGTAAACCCAGTACAAGACCACCTGTCTGACCACAATCAACGTTTGTGTATTCCATGTAGTCCTAAAGATATTTCATTCCAGCTGAGAGTTTCCACTGAGAACCGTCATTTAAAAGCTCCTCAGCTATTTTGTCAGTTCTACGAGGCTGCTCCCTGTGGTGCTCGGGGCCAACGGCTAACATCAATGCTACCAGCCGTCAGGGATGAGGGATTAAAGGAGGAGGGGAGGCACTCATCCCCAGGTCACCATTAAGGGGTGATATCAGTTTTTAAAATACCGCCAATTACAGACCAGGGTGGCAGATATTTGACTTATTATGCAAATATTACAATGTTATTTTTATTTAGTATATAGCACTTAAAAAGCATATATACTATTATTACTCAATACACCTGCCAATTTTAGCTGCTCACATGTCTTAGCTGGAATAAAAAAAAAAAGAATTCATTTTTCTCTCTCTTAATTCTTTGACAATCACATTTAGTGGTTAAAAAACTGATTTGCTTACCTTTTTTGTTTAACAAATTATGTCTGTTTGTCTTAGTCCTTCACTAATTCAGCTTTGGCTTCATTTTGGTGATAGCACTCACTAAATGAAGTGCCAGATTTTACTAGTGATGAAGTATTTCTACACTGTGTCATAAAACGTTTGGGGAATTTGAGTTCTTTTACAGCTAACATTTTATCACAGGCTGCAGATCTAACAAATGGGTCAGCCTCTCCAAACTTTTATAAAAAAGTCCTTTATAACATCAAGTTTTGCACTTATTATTCTGACCCCAAGCCTCTTTCTTTTCTGCTGTGCAGGTGATAATTACACGGTGCCAAATAGATCTTCTCTTCTTCAGGTGAAATACATGCGTGTCAGGTCAGCTCCTCATGTGTTTTCTATCAGGATGACCTGGGACTCTTGTATCCACCTGTAGGTGGTTTTGGAGCAGCAGCTGACAGAAGAAAACTTCCAACAGATTTTTTTGTTTACAGCTCATTTACAGCTTGTTTTGGGGAATTGTCCCTTTAGGACCTCTCTAATTGTCCCAGGTTGTTTCATGTCAGTTTCCCCTCACCTCAGACCCTTTTCATCTGCTCTGAGTTAGGACCGAGTGCACACACATGCATGTGTATTTGTGCTTGTGTGTGTGAGTGTAAATATGATCCAGTGTGTTGACCAGGTGTCACTCTGTTGAGCATGGCTATCATCAAAGTGGGAACAGATGAGATTTGAGCACCAGGATGTTGGTTTGCGTGTGAAAGCTTTTGCATGACAGTGTGTTTGGCCAGGTGGTTAATTTCATTCATTCATTACATGAACGCAAAACTGCAGGAAGAGCTCAAAATCCCAAACAAATGATTCTGATCCGCAACCGTTAACATATTTCATTGTTTTAGATGTCATAAATAAAACAAATTATCTAATATTTTCCAAAATAAATAAGTCAACTGAAGGATTATGAGCTCAGGGAAAGATTCTTGTCCTCAAGATCAACCTCTAAATCCAGGACCGCTCTCTGAGATTATGAAGGTTGGCTTTTTTAATAGTAAGGACTTCAGTCATGAAAGTGATACTACAAACAGGTGTGATCTGTGTGCTGTGATGCTTTGGTAGGGTTGAAACATAGACTGTATATACTATGTACAACTTGGTTCCGCCTTCCACCAGTATACGGATTTGAAGCCAAAAAGATCTCTGTAATTCCACACTTTTTCTCCACTTTCTGAAAACAACATTGCCCAGAAGCATTATACGCGTTCAGCGGGAGAGTCACTGCTGATGACGCTCGGCTCAAACAGCGTATCCCCGGGGTGAGCTACGCAATCTTCGTACGCCCATAGGCTGTATCAAGTGTCAATCATAGAAAACATGAACCCCCTAATAACTTTTAAAAATGGAGACAAACTCTGCAAACGGAACGGTTCAGGATGCTCCCAGCAAAGAAGATGAGATGCAAAAGTTACTCTGGCTGTTGATACAGATTTATGAGACTCAGCCACCAGGTCCCAGATGTTTGGTTCGCTTAAATGTAGATGAACAGTGTGTGGGCTGCAGGTACTTTGAGAAGGACCTGGCTGTAAGCGCGTGTGAACTTGGAGGTTGGACCTCGCTTGGATCACATTTTTAAAAGAATTTAAGCGATATCACCAGCTGCTCTTTGTTTCGTCCTTTTCACAAACTTTATAGCAAAGGCTTTTTATTTTAAATACTGAAACTGAAAACAAATGCAAACCTCTGACCAAGCATGTGTCAACAGAGGTCTAACTGGGCTACATGACTATGGCAGGCTGATTGATTCTGAACTTTGAGTTTATAGTTTAAAACTCTATTTATTATTAAAGTTTGTGAAAATAACCTGAAAACCAAATATTTATGTTTGTGAGTTCATAGAGACTGAGTAAATTATTACTCAATAACAGCTGATCCAGGCACAGATGAAATTTCAATGTGAAAAGCGCCAAAGGAGGTCTGACTGCTCCTGTACGGGCCCACATCATCAAAAATCTGGATTGATTTCTAACTGAAGTTGAAATATTGAGCTCTGATATTCTGTCAACTTTTTACAGTAAAAGTTTGTGAAAACAAAATCAAGTTTCACTGCCGGGTACTCGTGTGTATTACGGAGTTTAAAGACACCTGCAGTGATCCCAGTGGAGCAGAAGTGGCGAGTGTGTCTCCTCATTTAAGTGTCAATTCAGACCCTAAGTCTGATTTTAGGAGGAGTTTCAGCCTGATAGTGCATCATTTGCCGTGCAGTTACAAAGCACGAGAGCAAGTCATTACCCAAGCTGAATGCTTACCATGTTGAAAAGTTGTATGTCAAATAAATCTTCTTGCAAGATGAAAGAAGAGCCACAAGCTGATTTTCCAACTTCTGATATATACAAA